ATTGTCTGCAGGATGAAGGCTTCTTCCACATGCTTCCAACAAATACAGTCTTGAGCTTTCTTTTGCCATATTTTATATATGTTCTAATTGATCAATAGAAATGTTTTATCTTCATTCATTATAAATGGACAAGTACATGGCTAAAATAGCCTGACTTCATCACCAGGATAGATTGTATTCCCACCTCTCTTTTCCCCCCATCTCTCTTTGGTTGTTTTTTTTTGGGGGGGGGGGATAGTTCCTTGAGTTGCTATGCCCAGAACTGTATTATATTTTTTTGATATAACAGAAGGTGAAAACATTAATTGTGACCATTTTATTAAATCTATCTAATAATCCGATATAAAAATATAAGTATTTTAGCTGTTTCCTGGTGCCAACTGATACGGATACTCTAAAATCCAAATCCTTGATCCAGACCAAGTTGTGCCCTCCTGCTGTGAACTTTCATCATACACAGTCAGTATATTATCGGCAGTACCTTTCTTAAATTGGTTTTCATCCTCCTAATTTGTGAAAGTATCTTAATTGATTGGATAGAATTGTTTGTAATTACTGTCTGTTGGGATAGTAAATTAGGATGAAATCAAATTAAGCAAATATTTAATAGGAAGACTGTATCCCTAGCTATCTTCCATCACATTAAATCAGTCCTTTGCAAGCAATGGCTCCCAGATGATACGCCATCATTTCCACCATTATGCAAACTCTTAATAATTATGGGGACTTTACAACAACTAGGAAGATTTAGGAGGGAGAGATTGGTATAATTTCTGCTTACCAGCTATGCATCTGTAACTGCCCCTTGAATAGGATAACTCAACTAAGTCTAAAATTAAGCTGCTGCTTCTATGACCATATTCAGCATGGAAGCCACCATATAGCCAGATCCACTGTTTCACGTCCTGGTGGCAGCAATAACCTGGTTTGTTTTTTAGATCTTTCTTCCAATTATGAATTTTCAACTTAGAAATGTTTATTTATTTTTATTTAACTTATTTGTTTGTCAAACATGTACAAGATAACAAGTATAGGTATGAACATAAACATGAACAAAGGAAGTAAATACAGATAAATGGGGACAGTAAGACAGGGACGGTAGGCACACTGGTGCGCTTATGCACGCCCTCTTTACAGACCTCTTAAGAAGGGAGTGAGGTCCACGGTAGACAGTTTGAGATTGAAGCTGTGAAGGTTTGAGGCTGTAACAACAGAGTTGGGTAGAGCATTCCAGGCGTTGACTACTCTGTTGCTGAATTTTCTGTAATCAAGTTTGAAGCAGTTTACCTTGAGTTTCTATTGTTTGTTTGCCCGTGTATTATTGTCTTGAATACTATCCCACTGTTGTTTGTGGGATACTGAACCAGTGTTCAGTATTTAAGATCAAATATTTATCAAATATTAATAATAATATTTAATATATTATATATTAAATATATATTTAATAATATATAATAAGGGACATGGTGGCTCAGTGGCTAAGATGCTGAGCTTGTCGATCTAAAGGTCGGCAGTTCAGTGGTTTGAATCCCTAGTGCCACCTAATGGGGTGAGCGCCTGTTACTTGTCCCAGCTTCTGTCAACCTAGCAGTTCGAAAGTATGTATAAAATGTAAGTGGAAAAATAGGGGCCACCTTTCCGTGTGCCTTTGGCATTTAGTCATGCCAGCCACATGACATGGAGATGTCTTCAGACAGCCCTGGCTCTTCGGCTTTGAAACAGAGATGAGCACTACCCCCCTACAGTCGGGAATGACTAGCACATATGTGCGAGGGGAACCTTTATCTTTACCTTTTTAAATAATAAATACCTAATTGAATCATATGTTCTGAATAAATCTATAATTATTTTTTCCTCTTTGTTGCATGCTAATATTATGTGCTGGAATATGTGCTTTTTTCTTGCTACTGACCTAGCTGAACCTTTGTGTACAATTTTTGGAGTATCGTTTCGAACTAGTTCTCTGCCTGATCTATGGCCATCAGCTATAGTTATATCTTTAAAAAGGGTAACACTAGTTTAGTAGAAAACTATAGGTCAATCTCTTTGTGCTGTGTTACATACAAAGTTATGGAATCAATTATAAACCAATCCGTCGTTCACCATTTAGAAACAACTTGCTATCTGACAGTTTGGCTTTAGGAAAAACTTGTCCTGTAATTTACAACTTTTGCACTGTAAAACATCTGAACTACATGTCTTGATCAAGGTAATGCTGTAGATGCAATTTACATAGATTTTTGTAAGCCTTTTAATACAGTAGTACATGACAAACTGCTGTTGAAATTAAACTCTTATGGCATCTCTGGACCTTTGCCCAAGTGGATTGCTGCTTTTCTGTCAAATAGATTGCAGAAAGTCAAAATAGGGAACTCGCTGTCTAATCCTGCATCAGTTAACAGGGGTGTTAACAGTGGTGTTCTGCTTTAGTTTCCACGATTTTCTTGCTCTATATCAACAATTAGTGTGATCAGCTTAAAAGCAATTGCGTCCTTTTTGCCGATGACGTAAAATTATTTAATACTACAGATAATTCTGTAAATTTGCAAAGTGATCTTGACTATGTATCTATAGGTCATCTATTTGGCAACTCCAAATTTCGATTAATAAATGCTCTGTCTTACATATTGGTAAATGTAATCAGAATGTCAAGTATAAGCTATGTGGTATTGATCTAGCAAATGACCCTCACTTTGTCAAGGATCTAGGTGTACTTATTTCTGACAACCTATGTTCCAAAGTTCATTGTAACATTGTTGCTAAAAAAGCATTAAGAGTTGTAAATTTAATTTTGCAAAGCTTTTTTTCTGGAAACATCATATTACTAATTAGAGCTTATAAAACTTATGCTAGACCAATCTTAGAGTATTGTTCAACTGTTTGGAATCCCTACCATATATCTGACATCAGTATAATTGAGCAGGTTCAGAAGTACATCATGAGAAAAGTCTTGCACTCTTCTATACACAATAGAATTTCCTATGCTACTAGGCTCGAAATTCTCGGTTTGGATAACTTAGAACTGTGTCGCTTGCGTTCAGACCTAGGTATTGCATACAGAATTATACGTAGTAATGCTTTACCTGTAAATGACTTTTTTTTTTAATCGCAATAATACACACAAGCAACCTCTTTAATGTATATCGTTCTAAACTTGACTGTAAAAAATATGATTTCTGTAATAGAGTTGTCAAAGTCTGGAATGCTCTACCTGATCCAGTTGTCTCAGCTACAAATTTTCATAGTTTCAATCGCAAATTGATTTCCGTGGAACTTACTTCCTACTTAAGTAGTCAGTAGAGGGGGCGTGCATAAGTGAACTAACTTGCCTACCATCCCTGTCATTGTATTTTTCTTTTATTCTTGTTCTCATTTTTGTTTGACAAATTCTAATAAGTAAAATAAAATCAATAAATAAGACTATGATGCAGAGTTTGTGCGTTTGTATTTCTCATTGGATTTAACACTGGATCCTTGCCCTGAAAATAGTTTCATAGAATAGCTTATCCATGAGAAAACATTATGACATTTTTGTTGATGTAGTGAGTTGTTTTATTTTAGTTTCTGCCTATATTGCATTCTAAATAGGACCCTCTGAGCTATGGGGTTTCTGGAACATGGCATGAGGCTCTGTAATGTATGAGTGTAGGTGTGTATGATGCAGAGCCCACTGTATTATCCTCCCCTTCCCCGCAAGGACTCAACAGGCAGGTGGGAAGGCTGTTTTTGACAGATGTCTCTCGACTGTAATGAAAGAGCTTATGCAAAATTATCTCCAGTCAGTATTAAGTATGGGAGGCACCCAGTACTTTGAAAGGTGAGAGAAATGAGTGTGTCATTCCCATGCTTGCCATCTCGGTTTGATAACCTGATTACTGAACAAGTAAATAAATTTCACATTTACTTGCATTTATATTTAACAGTAGGGTGCTGTCAGAAACTTGAGTAGCCCTGCTGCAAGCAAGATATGGGATATTAGGCTGACTATTAGGCTAGCTGTCAGGAATGCATTGATGAGTTGCAATGAGCCACAACATGACTAGATTTTTCTCCCTCTATTTTTAATGTATTAAATGCTATGACTGGCCAAAATCCAGTCATAGCATTTAATCCTCCCAGATGACAAATGTATTCGAAGCATCCATAATAGTATTTAAAGCCATGCATATATACCCATAACACTTTTAGTTTTTACAATAAATATTGTTATAGAGGGATAAACAATAAATGGAAAGTCAAGGAGATTGAAGATATGATATGAGACAAAGAAAATGCTAAAATTGGTATAAACCAATAGCATAGAAATAGCAATAGGACATAGACTTATATACCACCCATAGGGCTTTATAGCACACTCTGGGCTAGTTTACAATGTCAGCATATTATCCCCAACTATCAGGTTTCCTCATTTTACTGACCTCGGAAGGATGAAAGGCTGAGTCAGGATCGAACTCCTGGTTGTGGGTAGAGTTAAACTATAATACTGCATTTCAATTTCTGCACCACAACTCATCCATTCATTATATTTCTATCCTTGCTTTCACATCAGCTGAACACATCACACAGTGCTGTTTATTTTATTTTATTTCTCGTTTTGATTTCATTAGCTCTACCAATCCTCTCCTCTCATTCAATTTTTCTTCCGTCATAGAATTGTTCTGCAGTTCACTTTTTTATTGAACATTGGTTCTTCCCCCTTGGATTAGGATGGGAGTTAGCACAGCAAATGTGGATTTGATGGATGTTATAACACTGGTAGGAAGCATGACATTTCTTTGTGTAGTGTGACATTACTGTTTTATCTTTTGTTTTATTAGCTGTTGTGAGCTGCCTAAGATGATTGTGTATAAGATAAGCAACCATTTAGTTATATATATATATATACATATGCATATACATATATATATGTGTGTGTGTGTATGTATATATATATATGTGTGTGTATATATATGTATACACACACACACACACACACACACAACCACACTGACTCAACAAACTTCTTCATATTGGCATTTATTTTTGCATTAAATACATGTTTATTATGCTAACATATTCACTCTTGATCCTAACTTTTTTTTTTACCCATTTAGTACACAATAAAAAGATGAAAACAAGATAAATCGATGACATCAGCAAGTATTGCAAGTCCAATTGGCAAAAGAAAGCTGAGGTCTGTATTGGTTGGAAACATGCAGAAGAGTTCTTCATCCTGCAGTGGATAGACAATGGCTAAAATGATGATGATGATGATGAAACATATTTCCTGATTGCTTATTTGTACTCTACGACTATCATTAAGTGTATGATTCTTGATGAACGTATCTTTTCTTTTATGTACACTGAGAGCATATGCACCAAGACAAATTCCTTGTGTGTCCAATCACACTTGGCCAATAAAAAATTCTTTTCTATTCTATATGAAATCTCGCTTGGACTTTATGTGTGTATGTATACGTGTATATATATGTTTTCTGAACAATGCTAAGATAAATGTTTTTTTATTGCCATCACTTTTTATGGTTTCCCAGTCTAGCCTTACAGCCCAGGAAATTTCTGATTTCCTTTCCTTTTTCCTTTCTTTTTCTTTTTCTTTTTAGCCAGATTGTACTAATATACCTTTGATGGCGACCTATGGCACGTGGCACGCACGTGGCACGCAGTGGCACGCGTGGCGGAGCCATCCTCCCAGTTCAGCTCCGTCACGCATGTGTGCACGCCTCCCACCGGACAGCTGATCTTCGGGTCTCTGCAGCGTATGTGTGGGGGCGGGGTGTGTGTGTGGGGTGTGTGCGCATGCATGGAGCCGGGGCACATGCACCAGGGCCAGTGTGCATTTTGGGAGTTAGGGCACTTTGGGCACTTGGTCCGGAAAAGGTTAGCCATCACTGTAATATACTAATTTAAAGAAAATGAAGAATTTATTATATGGTGAATTAGGGACTGTAGGCCTGCTGCCTATGGGAATCAATAAATATGCAGACAAAAACTTTAATGTTCCCAAGCTTTCTGTCACATTTCCTGTACTTTTAAAATAAACAAGTGGGAACATACATATTCCAAAGCCTAGACTATAACATTAGCTTTATTCCAAGAATGCCTTTGGAATATGCAGACTCCATAGGTAGCCCTGACTGAAAGTTAGGAAAGCAGGTTTTGTTAAAAGTGTGACTGCCTGACAAGGATATCTGGACAGCAAGAAGATAGTGTACTTGCTCTGTGGTAAAAATTTTGTGTCATGCCATGCCAACTGGAGCAACCATTTTGTAATAGCACCTACAACATGCAAATGCACTCAGCTTGGCTGACATTGTCATTTCTTAAAAGATATAAAAACCATCTGACAGCTTTCTTTTACACTTACTTGAGGGAAAATGACTGTAGCTCAGTTAAAGAAAGCACACTTTGCATCAAAAGATCTCAGCTTCAATTTTTGTCATCTTTAGTTCTGGATAAGAAGCCCCAGAGAGCTGTTGCCAGTCAGCCCAACATAGCAGAAGGCAGCTTTCCTATGTGCTTAAATTGATTCTCTGAGTGATAAAATTTAGACAACTGTCCTTGAAACCTGAAGAAAAACCATATAAAGGAAGATGCTTATTAATACATTCAGATAACAATCTGAAAATAGATAACACCAGTAATACCCCCCAATACTGCATGTAATACAGTATTTGGAATGACCTCAAGTTAAAAATTCAGTTGAGCAACATTGCAGAAAAATGTTCCATCAGTATTTACTACCTGAAACTAGCAAACAACCAGGAATATATATATTTCAGCACATGGATCAAACATTGGTAGCTGAAAATAACTTGAAGTAATACAATCTATTTTTTTCTTTAAGAAAAGCAATTTTAGCCAAAGATTTTTGGAAAGAAGTACTAGTGAACAGGATTTACTTCTATGTAGGCCTATTCTGTGGAAATACACTTCCTATCATATAAACAGCAGCATTTGTCCCATGACTAAACATCTGTTGGTGCCTGAGACTATATTGCACTTTCAAGGTATTTAAAAAGTTAATCAAGGTTGGGGAAATATGTCTTTTAAATGCTTTGGAAGTTGCAAGATGTTTATACCTTGTTTTTCTTTATTCCATATTATAGAAGGTACATACATTAAGATTAGATTAGATAGATGATAGATAGATAGATAGATAGATAGATAGATAGATAGATAGATAGATAGATAGATAGATAGATAGATAGATGAGAGAGAGGGGGGGAGAGGGGGGGAGAGAGAGAGACATGGAGAGAGACAGACAGATAAGAGACACTTGTTAATAATTTTCAGTATTTCAAAGGCTGAGAGAATTATTAAAATGTGCAATGGCACTCAGCTGAAAGGATTCTCAGCTGGAAACAAAAAAACACACTCTTTTGCATTAGAGAAGGGCAATTTTCATTCAGTACATTCAGCCCCACAAGTTTTTATATGTTCCTCAGAGCTTTTCTTGACACCTGTTGTTGAAAATCAGTAGTCACTGTTCTGAAGTACAAAATAAATCAAAATGAAAATTATAATCCTCTAACTTTTAATGAGTTTAGGATCAGCACCAAAGATTTGGAAGGACTGAAAGAGATAAATTGAAGGTAGGATTCGGTAAAAACTTTCTCAAATCCAGATTATCCCCCCCCCCCAAAAAAGACAGTACATTATAATAGAGAATCAAACAATGATCCTTCTTTGCTTACACAAATGTATATAAACCAAAATATTTCATTACATATTTTTTTTACCCAGTTGGCGATATAGCATATTTTAGAGCCCAACATTGGATTCAGAACAGGAAGTTAAAATGTTAGAGTTAAAATGTTATAATAGAAAAAGAAAAGATACTTGACTTCATTTTAAAGGAAGATGTGATATTGATTCAAAGCAAAATAATTCTACATAAGAATTATGCTTCCATACACTATCAGTATTTTAGGTTATATGCCGGAAAGAAATCAACTACACAAACATTTCTTTGATTCCATTTACAGAATATATTGCTTGGATAAAAATATTACTGAAGCTATTCCGTTGTGCTCAATGCAAGAGTTGGTGTTGACCTATAAAATTCTTTATTGTTGGATGCCTAGTTATCTACAGGACAATCTTCTACCTGAATCAGCCCATTCAGTACATTTTCCTAGGGTGTTTTTGGTTCTATGCCATTTTTATATAGAGAATGATGGCCAGGAGGTCCTGTTTCTCTTTTGTTACTTCAGCTTTGGAATATTTGGAATAGTCTTGAGAATGTTATCTGGAAGGAGTTTGACGCTGTGACTCCCGATGATGTGGACAGGATTTTGGGGAGACTTAGTGTGGCCACATGTTTACTGGACCCGTGTCCCTCCTGGTTGGTACTGGCTTCCCGGGAGGTTACACGAGGCTGGCTCCAGGGTGTTATCAACGCTTCGCTGAGTGAGGGCCACTTCCCCGCTGCCTTGAAGGAGGTGGTGGTGAGGCCTCTCCTCAAGAAGCCGTCCCTGGATCCGGCAATATTGGCCAACTACCACCCTGTCTCCAACCTTCGCTTCATGGCGAAGGTTGTGGAGAGTGTGGTCGCGCGACAGTTCCCACAATTCCTGGAGGAAACATCTTATCTAGATCCGTTCCAGTCAGGTTTCAGGTCTGGGCACAGCACGGAAACGGCATTGGTCGCGTTGGTTGATGATCTCTGGAGGGCTTGGGACAGGGGTTGCTCCTCTGTTCTGGTCCTGTTAGATCTCTCAGCGGCTTTTGATACCATCGACCATGGTATCATGCTGCACCGGCTGGAAGAGTTGGGGGTGGGAGGCACCGTGTTGCGGTGGTTCTCCTCCTTTCTCTCCGACCGGTCGCAGTTTGTGTTGGCAGGGGGGCAGAGGTCGACCTCGAGGCCTCTCATCTGTGGAGTGCCGCAGGGATCGGTCCTCTCGCCCCTTCTGTTCAACATTTATGTAAAGCCGCTGGGCGAGATCATCTGTGGCTTCAGGGTGAGATACCACCAGTACGCTGATGACACCCAGCTGTACATCTCCACCCCAGGCTACCCCAACGATGCCCTTGAAGTGATGTCCCAGTACCTGGAGGCTGTGCGGATCTGGATGGGGAGGAACAGGCTCAAGCTCAACCCTTCCAAGACTGAGTGGCTGTGGCTCCCGGCATCCCGATATAGTCAGTTGACTCCATCACTGACTATTGGGGGCGAGTCTTTGACCCCCACAGAAAGGGCTCACAATCTGGGAGTCCTCCTGGATATGCAGCTGTCCTTGGAGGAACATCTGACAGCTGTAACCAGGGGGACCTTTTGTCAGGTTCGCCTGATTCGCCAGTTGAGGCCCTTTCTTGATCGGGATTCCCTATGCACAGTCACTCATGCCCTCGTCACCTCTCGCCTTGACTACTGCAACGCTCTCTACATGGGGCTCCCCTTGAAGAGCACCCGGAGGCTCCAACTGGTCCAGAATGCAGCAGCGCGGGTAGTGACGGGAGCAGCATGGTGCTCCCATGTAACACCGCTCCTGCGCGAGCTGCACTGGCTCCCAGTGGTCTTCCGGGTGCGCTTCAAGGTGCTGGTTATCACCTTTAAAGCGCTCCATGGCATCGGGCCTAGCTATTTTTGAGACCGCCTGCTGCTACTGACGACCTCCCATCGTCCCGTGCGCTCCCACAGAGAGGGCCTCCTCAGGGTGCCATCAGCCAATCAATGTAGGCTGGTGACCCCCAGGGGGAGGGCCTTCTCTGTGGGGGCACCTACCCTCTGGAATCAGTTGCCCCCAGAGATAAGGAGAATCCAAGACCTTAGTGCTTTCCGCCGTGCCCTTAAAACCCACTTTTTCCAGCAAGGCTGGCTTAAGAAGAAATTTTAAATGTTTTAATTGGTTTGTATTTTTAATTTTGGGCCAAATTTATACATATTTTAATTGTTTTTTAATATTTGTATTTTATGTTTTTTAATTCTGGCTGTACACCGCCCTGAGTCCTCAGGGAGAAGGGCGGTATATAAATTTTAAATAAATAAATAAATAAATAAATAAATAAATAAATAAATAAATAAATATTTTGGAATACTTTTCTCTTAGAATTAAGGTTTGATGCATTCCTTCTAACATTACGGAAGCTATTGATGATGCTGGATCTTTTCTTGAGAGTGGTTATTCAAAGTCTGCTTTCACCATCTTCAATTCTTTGTCCTTTGAATTATCTAAACTGTTTCAATTGTTTAAATAATTTTACTTGGCTTTGTTATGATGTTATGTCTTATTGCTGTTAACAGGGTGGATTTGATTTAAATCGAGTTGATTTAAATCACAATTTAAATCATGATTTAAATCACTAGTAAAAAGGCTTGATTTAAATCAACTCAATTTAAATCATAATTTTTAAAGAGCAACTGTCATCTCTGCTACTCCTTTGACCCACTGTTGACTCACCAATAGTCCCAGTGTTGCAGAATATACAGCCTCATGCTACATAACTAAGCTCCATTTCATGCTGAATAAACTAAATTATTTATGTATCTTAAATAGAAAACTATCTTATGATAGATTTTTACCCCAAAAGTTTTTTATTAAAATAAATTCGATAAAAATAAAAAAAATCCGATTTAAATAAAAAAAATCCGATTTAAATAAAAAAAATCTGATTTTTTTGATTTTTTAAAAAAAATCATTGATTTTTACCTACCCTGGCTGTTAATATAAGTCTCCTTGAATTTTATTTCGTTAGATGTTGGCTGTGAACACTTTGACTGTGGACATTTTTGTGTTATTTCAGCAGAATGAGAACAAAATAAATGAATAAATAAGCAGTTAGTGTAAGCATACAAAGGCAACCCTATTGTTCGCATTCCCTAGCTATTTCTGCAACTTTCTTAGCATTCACCAAGAGGATATGCAAGTTTATGAATGACTTAGTTTCCGTACTTTTACATATCCAAACAGATCTCTATTTGAAAGGGAATACATTTTAGAATTAAGAGTTGATACAAACAAATGTATCACAATATGGTATACACAGTGTAACAGAGAACAGCGAAAAATATAGTCTTGTGTAAAAAGACTGGCTATACACTTCCTATACAACAGTCCATTTTTGAAAGAAGTCTGCTTTGGAACAATTATTCAGGAAAAAAAACCTAACATGATTTTGAATAAACTCTTTGTTCAGTTTGCTTACTTCAGTAATTACAGTGGTAGTTATATAGAAATGCCCTTGCAATACTGTGTTGAATATAGCTATTCCTCATCCTAGATTTGAAGTCGCTTTGTCAATGCTAGGTATACTACATTTATCTCCAAAGATGCAAACCAAAGTACATTTGCTGGTGATCAGCTCTTGAAAGGTGTTTTCAATAGAATTCCCCTATTGTACATTCTGGCAGTAGAAGTGGTAGCACCAATTAAAATTGTTTCAATATAATCTGTGATTTTCAGTGGCAAAAACAATCACTTGCAGGAAGAACCTGCTAGCTCAGAATGATTTTGCATGAAGCTAGAATAGCTTCATTATAAAAGGGTCATTTATTTATTCATTTATATATTAACTGTTTTTCTTGATTTTTGAAAAGAAACCATTTGATACTATATCCAGGAATGCTGAGTTGCCATATATTATTATTTAGTTAGAGAAACTAGCTTTGTGACATGCAATCTGGGAAACTAGAAAAGTTAGCCTGTACTTCTCATATGTAAAATAAAAGTATCAGATTATGTCAGATGGTTACATTTTATTAACTGTTTATAAATAATGGTTAAGTTGGTTTCTAGATCTACCTGAAATTGTCTAAGGTTTTTTTTTTTTCTCATCCTCTTTACCTCCATTACAACATACATATTGCAACTGCGAAAAACCCCCTAAAGAAATGGAACAAGAGCTGCGAATTCACAAGACAAACAGCCAATGTATGTTGTCAACTGTCTGAACAGGTCTTGAAGATAAATTGGAAGTTCTGAGTGGTTTCTTTCTGAGGTATTTCTTTAGGCCGGAAGGGCAAATCATGCTGGTTTAAAGAGAAGTGCTGTTTGCTTTCTCTCTGGCTATCAGGAAGAACCTACATACTAAACACTGAATATGGTTTAATTGGAAATCAGTGTTTTTCAACATAATCCATTATACATTCCAGACAGGTTATCATTCAGAGCTTTTCTCTGAATACTCCATCTAACCATTGGGAACAAAAATTAGGAGAAAATGTAAGAGTTACTTCCAATACCTAGAAACTGAAATTAACTTCAGAATAGTTTTGCTTTATGGTGTTTTAAACTATACCACTTTTTCTTTGGAAGCAATAGACCTATACCAAATAGTTCCAATTTTTGTATCCACAGTTACTGCTGCAATATGGTTATAGGATTTAATAGAAATCTCTCCTCTTCATGAAACATGTAATTTCTCAAATATTTTAAGTAGTTTAGTTCAAAAAGAAAATACAAAGATTATTAAAATTGATTTTGTCAGTGGTGTATGAATCACAAGATATTCATTACTCTTGTCAAACCCTGTCATTATGATTCACAAGAATTACACAAGCATTTCATGAATCATACTTTCTTTAATTTAGATATATACATTGGTCCCCATGCTTTCCCTCTTTCTGGAAGTACCAAAAGTTCATGCTGTTGGACATTGGCAGCCAAACTGAATTCTTTGGATAGTGAAGTCACCAGGGTGTGCAAATCCACTGGCAAAACATTGCTGCAGGAATCAAGGATGTGATTTATGACATCATTATTCTCTGACTTAGAAAGAGTACACGTAGAATAAACCAGATATCCTCCAGGACGCAATGCTTTAATTGCAGATCTGTTAAATAATAAAAGCAAAACAAAGCAAAAAAGAGTAAATATATTGGGTTAAATTGGATTCATCAGCATACATATTTACACTTGGAATCTTCAGCTGCCAGAAAAGCGTGCATACTTATGTGGATTAAGCTTAACATTTCAGTAATGGCATGTGATTATTATTGCTCAGCCAATACATACAATAGAATCCATTACTAAAACGTTGGAAGGATATACTACATTTTGCCCATAGGAGATAACTAGCTCATTCTGTTTCAAACTTTGACAAAATGTTAAACTGACAATCAATTTTGGAGAAAAGAATGACTAAGAGAAAAGAAGGGAGAAAATACATTAACCTAAATAATTGGTTTACTGAACTAGCTATAAGGAATATTCTACTAATCCTGATTTACAAAAAAATACCTGAGCCTTGCACCACACTAACCGAAAACTAAATGTACAATATGAGGTACAATATAAGTAACAGAAGTTTATAGGATTTAAACTATAGAAATCAACTGGACATTTCTTATTTCAGAGGAGCTATCAAATAAACAGCAGTCTTATGAAGTGACTCAGGTATCACCTTACCATATTATCTGGGTTCCTTTTGTGTTACTTCTGAGTAAGTGGATTATGAGTTCTCTAAGATGTTGTTGATTATGTGCAGGCTGCCTGTTCTTTCTGGAAAGGGGCAGGATGGGGAATTGCTCCCTGGATTCAGGAAATTACAAATACCTTGGTATGGGAGGGACCACTATTAAAATAAGGCAGTTTCATACCCTTCTTAAGAGGCCCTCCTTGGAGCCAGAGGTACTGAACAATGGCTTGGCCTCCATACTCCCTTGATGAAACAATAGATTGGAATCAATTACAGTGCTCTGGGTGGAGTAGGTATCTTAGACCTTGGTCAGGGTTCAAGCCCGGGGACAGGACAGAAATAGTAAAATTTGGTTTTTTTGTTGTGTGTGTGTGTGTGAGAGAGAGAGATTATTCAGTGGGTTGAATGGTAACTGGTAATATATTGCAAGCCCAGGTCACACTGGAGGTGCTATCTAAGTATCATTCTGGTGCGTGAAGACTTTTAACGTCTGTATGTGTAATGCTCTGTGGGAATACCCTTGAAAGATAGGAAGAGCAGCAGTAGGGCAATGGTTAGATAAGAGACATCTCAACTCACTGAAGGAACAGAGGTATAGAAAACATGTCAGAAGGGGCCCTTCCTAGTCCCTAGAAAGTAAAGACAAGGGAAGAGAGATGCATTTTCAGACTCGCACGACTTTTACCTTACAATAAAGGCAGTTAAAATTCATGGAACTGGTTTGTCATCTGGATTATTCTGGAGAACAGAATACCTTAATCACACCAAACTTCCTCTTGTTTCTAATATATAAAGCACTACAGTGGGGCAAAAAAGTAGGTATAGTGAGTCCCTGCTCTAGAGGAGATCTGCATGGAGGAATGGGCCAACATACCAGCAACAGTGTGTGCCAACCTTGTGAAGACTTACAGAAAACATTTGACCTCTGTCATTGCCAACAAAGGATATATAACAAAGTATTGAGATGAACTTTTGATATGGACCAAATACTTATTTTCCACCATAATTTGCAAATAAATTCTTTCCAAATCAGACAATGTGATTGTCTGGATTTGTTTTCTCATTTTGTCTCTCATAGTTGAGGTCTACCTATGATGACAATTACAGGCCTCTCTCATCTTTTTAAGTGGGAGAACTTGCACAATTGGTGGCTGACTAAATACTTTTTTGCCCCACTGTATATAAATTGGCACCAAATTACTTCTAGGATTGAATCTTTCCTTTGAGTTGGCATGACCACTTTGGGAGAAACAGCTAGTTTCATTTCTGGGACATGAGAGTCCAGATATAAGAGTTTTTCTATGACGGATCCAATTCTCTGGAATAGCATCCTATTGACTGGTTCTAACATTATCTGCCCTCCAGAATCAGTTAAAAATAACTTTTCTGGAGGGCATTTCAAGGTTGAGCTGAAGTATTGTGTTTTAGTTACTATTTTGTATTGTATTTCTTTATCATTTATGATTACATTAGTTTTCCTATTTTTGAGCAGCCAAGAGTCTCTGGATAAAATTCTGAATAATAAATTAAAGAATAAAACTGTTGTAAATTTTAATTAATTTTAACTGCTAAAAAGATGTACTTTAAAAAGGAAGAAATATATACCGTATTTTTGGGTGTATAAGACGCACCTTTTTACCCCCCAAAAGGGGGTGAAAATCTGGGTGCGTCTTATACACCGAATGTAGCCCCGCCTACCCACCGGACCCCACTCTTCAGCCATTTTCGGCCAGTTCCAGGTGGCAGAGATCTGGGTCAGGGCACAACCTGAGGAACAACCCTCCCTGTTCGGGACAGTGGAGGGGGGGAGGAATCTGCCCAGCAGCTTTGGGGAACAAGGGGAGTGCCACGATTTGCGGCTGGTCACCCCTCTGGCCGCGCTGACTTCACTCCCCAGCAATGTGAGAAGCCGCCGCTGCCGCTGCCTAACCCTCTGCGCCCAGGAGCCAAGCCAAGCCAAACTGAATGGGAGCCCCTAAAGGGAAACGTTCCTCCTTTCCAGCCATCGCTGCCCGGATTCCAAAATGCAAACCTCAAGAGTCGCGCTTCAGGTGGCAGCCATTTCCCCTGCAATGTGCAGCGGGGAACTGGGAAGTGCTTTGGATTTGGGGAGGAGATTGTAGCGCTGACGCCTAAAAGTGTTTTTCTGCACATTGCAGAACCGTGCGCCCCCGTCCTCCTTCTCAGCAGACTCTTCTCTTTCCTCCTGGCCAGATCCGCCGCCTGAAACATGATACACTTTTTTTTGTCTCTGCACACACCCCATGTTTGGAATCGGGAAGGGGATCGCGGGTTCGGGCGGCAGACCCGGTTTAGGCAGCGGCGGCTCCTCACATTGCTGGAGAGTGAAGTCAGCGCGGCCAGAGGGGTGACCAGCCGCAAATCGTGGCTCCCGCCTTGTTCCCCAAAGCTGCTGGGCAGATTTCCCCTCCCCCACACTGTCCCGAAGAGGGAGGGTTGTTCCTCAGGTTGTGCTCTGTTCCTCCCCCCAGAGCATGCTAGGGGTCTCTTTGGGGGAAAGCGAGTAGTCCCTGCACCTCTCGCTTGCAGGAGGAAGAGGAGGGCGGTGCCACCTTAAATGCTGGTAGGCAGAGGTAAAATACTTTTTTCCTTGTTTTCCTCCCCCAAGATTAAGGTGCATCTTATACTCTGGTGCGTCTTATACACTGAAAAATACGGTATATCACTTCAAAATTTTAGCAATTGTGAAAAACTCAAAACATTCACAGCTTTCCCTCAAATACTGTTCACTGCAAAATGCCAAGAACCAAATACAATTTTCTGATTGGTTGCCATATTGCATTTAGACAGTTTTATCTTTGGGTCACCTGTTCACACTTAAATGTAAAAGGATGCAGGTATACATCAGAAAAGAGAAATGATATAGCAATTCATATTACAAACTTCACTCTCTCAGCCCACTCCTTAGTAATTACATGTTCTGCATTCTACTAGAATGGTCAAGATTAACTCTGTCATTAATTGATCTATTCTCCATATTAAAAAAGGAAAAAAAATCAGGGCAGATAGTGAGGACAGTGTCATATTTCAATGCTGCCATCTTGTGTTCATTAGCAGAAACTATTTTCTGAGACTGCAGAGATGGATCTGATCAGCAGGGAAAAAATTTGCTCCAAACCATTCAAACCACAGAAATAACATTGACATTCTTCCCTATATTCCTTCTTTATAAAAAAGGAATTCTGTTTCCCTCTTCCTACTTTTATTGATCAACGTGGCATCTTCACATTACAGTAATTTGATTTCAATTTCTTCTTGCAATGGCCTGCTATTCTTCCTTACAAATTCATTGGAAGTTGCAAGAAACTGTTATCTGTATCCTCAACATACAATTCATCATGGGGTACAGTACTGAGATAATGCAAATGAAGTCCCAGAAAGCTTTGCTTATATCAAGTCTCCAGCATTTCTCTCTCTAATATCATAGTCATAAGTTTCCCCTCAATTCCAGACTGATGGTAACTTCTCTTCAGCGTTGAGTGTTCCTTCAATTATGGGGAGTCTTATACAAAGACTTTTGAAACTTTTTACAATTTATAGTCATAACCACATGTAGAAGCAGCTGCTGGAAGATTTGCCAGACATTCCAAGAGTAATTTCTTAGAAGGCCTTGATAGATCCTTGCCATTTTTTAAACTGCTTTGCCTGGCATTCTAAAGAACCATTGACAAATGTTGTGCTGTAATCTCTACGGGCCCGGCCAAGCCAAGCTCCAAAGCAGTATAATAGAATTCAGATTAAAGTGCAATGGCAATTTATTAAAGGATAATGTTGCCTCTGCACAGCATTATATACCTTTTGTTACACAATCACTAGAAGAATATTAGTTATTAGACAGCTAGAGCAAAATCTCTTGGTCTTGAATGCCAAAAGTCAAGCAAAATAAAAGAAAAGCTGTCCAAGTAAAATTGTTTAAAAAGCTATTTAAGTTTTTTAAAATTCAAACTGAAATTGTACAGCACAATTAGACTTTATTAAAGGGCAACTGAAAAAGGTGTGTTTTTAAAGCTGGAGTAACAGCCTGAGTAAAAGGCAACTCTAGCGCTTCACTGAGAAGTTCCACATTGATGGCCCCACTAAGAAGAAAACCTGGCCTCAGTTTGTCAAAAGAGAAAGTTTTCCATCCTCTTTAGCACTTCTGAAAGCTATTCTTAAATTTGGATGAGCAATGTGAAATTCATAGAATGTCAGAAAGGATGCAATTTTTTTCCAATGGAAGTCTCTATTGGATCAAAAGGATCTTTTTTAAAATTATTATTTGTTGATTGAGGGGAAACCAGTTTCAAATGCTGTATTTGTTTTCAGGTGATTCGTAGATTTTTATAGCAATGGGATCACCATTATAACTGAAAGGTCCTGAGAGCTAGTATAAATGTCATTGGTCAATTTTAGCT